TTCAGAACCGAGATGACTCGCGGGTTCAGGCCCTTTCAGACGATTCAGTTTTCTTCCTTCCGAGATTAGTAAATTAGTACCACTATGTGGAAGGGCACAATTCTCATAACATCATCCTTCATCTTGCTGTTGGAGTTATTTTTCATGTGCATTTGTCATAGAATAAACACTGTTGAAAAGATTATTCGTACTAATAGTTTTTTTACCGTCCACAGCGTAGTACATGTAGATTCGCTGTTTAAATCCATTTATCTCTCTTTCAGTCCCTTTCCGCAGCTTTCTCACAAATTATACTTCTGTGCCAGTTTTAGTTTTTCTGTCTTATCATGGACGGATGCTCAATAGTAAAACGAATGGAGGGTCGATCAATTGTCATTAGGGAGATGGCATGCCACTGTCGCAGTTGACCATTCAGCCGATCAAAAGGTGCTGTCACCCACTTCTTGGCAGAAAAATCTTGAAGGTGGTGTTTCAGAGCAATTGAGTACCTGGCACTCATTAAAGAGAATGATTTCCGAGGGGATATCACTGTATCACGTAGCCGTCTGGTCGAATTGCTTTTAGCTTGTTAGGTATTTAAATACTGTTTTTATCGTTTCGTCGTTTATCACTGACCGACGCTTTGCATGTTCGGCTGTGACCAACTGTTAGATGACTAGACGACCTGATTTAAAGACTTTGTGACTTATTGAATTTTTCCTTACTTTTCAAGTTCTATATGCTGGCCAATGTGCTTTGGCAAAGTTGGTCAGATGACATAAATGGCTGTCATAAGCGCCGAGGTTAATGACATTGTCGGATCTATAGTAAAGCGCCGTAAATCTTATTTAATCAAACCTGTCCATCTCTTACATCAGATTCTTTCAAATCCAGTTCAAAATATCGTTTAACGATATCTTACTATGTCTGCAAATATTTGAGGACAGAGGCATGCGGAAAATCTTTGATCCCGCAGATGGCTAGGACCCTGCACAGTAATGAGAAATGCGAAAGGCCGAATCTGCTCCTATCGATCCTGTCACGTTAATCCATGCGTTTAGTTATTTATCCATATTAACTTTCTATCCATAACTCCGTTATTCACGATTTTTATTCTTTTTCTCATTATTGTGTAGCTTGCTTTTTGCTATGCATTATGAATGTATTGTTATGCAAGTCTATCAGTGAGTGCTGAATTGTTAGTCGGTGATTGTTTAACGAGCTGTTTCTACAAATTTTTACAGTAAGCACTTTGGATTTAGTGCTCTTATGACAATGCTGCCCAAAAAACATAAATAGCAGACCACTCTCATGGCTACCAGCCTCGTTAACCGACCGTTTTATGGTTCAAACGACTCGGGAGCATTTGCAGTACGATATCTGTCACGTGATTGCCCTGCCTGTCACATGATTCTCCGATTTGGACTTTGTTCAATTTCGTCGTGGATTGGCTATATTATGGACAACAGTCTCTATCTAGTCATCTATATCGCTTAGATTCTGTCGTATGAACTTTATACCTCCTGCCTCTTGGTAGTGTTGTCACTCATATTTTTGCTTTCTGTTCCTCTCAACGTCTTTCGCTCATGCCTGTTATCACTTCTGCCTTCTGGGATAGTCTCTTGCTATTAAAATGGTGTTTCTGCTGCTTGGAGCTGACAAAAAATATGTTTTGCATGGGTATCACTTTTCCGAATTTGCCTGGTGCAGTCGATAGTTCCTTACATCCAACGACATAGGCGATTCTTTGTGGTGCACAGGACTCGCAGCGTTATTTTATTAGCATGCAGGCAGAACCGCATCATCTCTTGGGTGCAACACCAGCTAACATATCTACATCTCTTAGAACAGAGCAAGAGACGATTTATTTATACATAACGCAAGCAAATTCATCGATTGGATGATTGCCAAAAGTACCTTGTAGCCCTTGAAGCAGGCTTTCATCAAAACTGAGTGGTGGGCAGCTTGAGAAGTCATATTTTTGTCGTTCGTGATGTTTATGCGCATCTGTATGAATAAAAATTATCCATAATGTTCCAGTGTTCACCAACAGTTGTTTCCGATTCATTCTTTGTTCCAGTTCCAGTTGGCCGCTAAGTTATGATGTTCACAGTTGATGTTGTTTCGAAACGGCTGCATGACTCTCATGAACTTATTTCCGTACGTCCTCAAGCATCTCATTTTGTTGATACCATGGCCGTGAATTTACGGGACTGTTTTCGTTCGAATTCTTTTTGTTGAAAATGCCCATTTTTGGCTCGATCGTTCCTTTGACCCTTTCTGCCCCGTCTGTCTTGTTTTTTGATTAATATGTAGCGCGAAGAGCTGGTCAGGAACAGCGGGTTCTGAAAGATGTCCTTTAGCCAGTTTCCGTCATCGTAGGTAAGTTTTTGCGTTGCGTTGTGAGGCATGGAACTTACCTGAAACTTGATTAAGGTGAGGAATCCTCACCTTTTCCAAATGAGGGAACTTTTACCACCGAAGTGAGGTGCCGTCGCTTTCCTCAACTAGTAGTTCATACTCTGGCACCACAGGCACGGCTCTCGTCGCATGTCGTCGTCGCCGTCGCATCGAACGTCTAAGTAACATCGTCCACCGGTCCGATGTTCGTCGAACCAGCTTTAATGCATATTAAGTCTTAAGTGCTGCCGAGGATTTTTTAAACTTGGTCGTTTCCCATTAGAGCTTCGTGTTTTTGACAAGTCTGTCATTTAACCGTAATTACTAACGACGAGAAGAGGAGCGGACAGCCGATCGATCCTGCTGTAAATATTACTAAGCGATGACGTTACAATTTTTTGAACATATTTCGCTTCAATATGGATATATGTCAAACGGCTCAGTTCATTCAGTGATGCCGCATCGTTCTTCATTCAGACCCTAGACGACTCGATGCACATTACGCTTTTATGAGTAATTGAAAACGGTGTCTTTTGAAGACCTCTCTTGAACCTTGAAACAGTCGGAGTCGGCTAACCAGGCAGTGGCAATCGGTACAGATGTACTCAGCCGTTTGAGGAAGGAAATCCATATGGGCAGCAAAGACAGCTGGTCAAAGGACGTATTGAAAGTTTCTAGCCCTTGGTATGTCGTTCTTTCTTACCCTTTCACGATGAGGCTATTTCTTGCGCCATTCTTTCCTTGCCCTTAGCCAGAAGTGCCACATCTTAAAGTCAGAGTCAACAGCGGCTGTACTGTTAGCAGCAGCTGGTATGCATGTATCAACCTTGGAACTGAGAAACGCGAGGCGAGTGTCCTGACCGGACTCGAACCTCGGTTCTCCCTGTTCTGAGTCCGACTCTGTATTGACTGAATATCTCTGAACAGAACCGCTTGCTTTATGTTGAATATCTTTAGCTAATACCTTTTGGTTTCGTTTTGAGATGCAAAAAATCACTATATGATGCCAAACATGTGTTGTCTGCAGATTTCCGAACTTCGGCTACTTACTGTGTTTCTGGACCCTGAACCGTGCGAAACGGTGACTGATGTCTAGCGACTGATCTTTAGAAGTCCTTGGGACATCGGAGAAGTGGCAGAAAATCATGCCTGTGCAGTAACACTAGGTAATTTTGGCCATCTCGTTTCTCTACAGAGGCCGAGCTGTGCGAGCCAATCGGATGCAAACGAAAAGCCTCGTAGATCTAGCAAATACTTAAATCTAGCGGTGCTTCCCGTTGTTCAGAGCTTATCTTCGCATTCTCTCGGTGGCAGAAGTGTTGTTCTGTGGTAATGTCGAACGGAAATATTTTTTTAGTACATTTTAGGATCGAGAAGAGAATAACAACAATACTCTGGATGAGTTTGACGACGAAGAGGTCGCTCAGGCCTTAGATCTGCATCGCCTGATTGTCACCACACCGATCGACGAACCCCCTCCACAGACCGCCGAACAGGTGATCGAAGAAATAGATGAAATAATGCAGGTGACTGTTTGCGGCGAATCGGTTTGCTGTGTCGTTTAAAAATTGTGCAGGGTTTAACGTTAAAAATTAGTTTATAATATTGAACGCTATGGCGGCAGCATAATATATTAAGCTATTTATAATATAGGAATGCTCCAATTATAGGGGCATAACGTTACTAAGCTTCCCAGGTAAAGTCTACGCAAAGGTGTTAGA